ATTCCATATCGTTGGTTACATGTACCATATCGGTTCGATATGAATATGAAATGGGAAAAAATGATTCCATCGTCAGGCCATCTTCCTCAAAACCCAAGAAACTACAGGGTGGGTGATCCGCGCCGTGGTTTATTTTTGCTTATGCTGTACCGGATTCACGCGTGCGGGCGGGCTTGCCTATCGTCGCTCGCCAAGGCGCCTTATGGCCCCGTGCGAGTATGCAACCCGTCCGCACGCATGAATCCGGTACAGTATAAGCAGAAAAAAACCACGGCGCGGATCACCCACCCTGTACATTTTACAGGGAGCTTTGTATAGCAACAGTCAAATAAAAAGATGGCCCACATAAAAAAAGTAATTCTTGATTACTACTACTTTTACTTCTACTACTACTACCCTGATGGGGCCGCGGGACATTATCGGGACACAGGTCCCACGGATGTCCTGGACTGTCCAAATCTGACGGTGTCCGGGAAATGAAACAAACTGGACAACGGATCTGTGTCCATTTTCTGTCCAGCCTTGTCCATCCTCCTAGCAGGCCTATACACTGTCCAGACGTTGTCCAAAACAATGTCCAGGCTAGTCCAAGCTGAAGAAGTAGCTTACTGATGGGGAGTTGAACATCGGACCTTCGACCTGGGAACCCATTGCGCTAACCACTAGGCTGTCGAACTTACTTACTACTATCTATGTGGCTTACCAATGTCATTCAGCGGCTTCCCAGCCATGTCCAAATGTGTCCAAGCTTGTCCAACTGCCTTCCTAACATGCCCTCATAGTGTCCAACCAGTGTCCAAAGTTGTCCAACCAGTGTCCAAAGTTGTCCAACCAGTGTCCAAAGTTGTCCAACCAGTGTCCAAAGATGTCCAACCAGTGTCCAAAGTTGTCCAACTAATGTCCAAAGTTGTCCAACCAGTGTCCAAAGTTGTCCAACCAGTGTCCAAAGTTGTCCAGCCAATGTCCAAAGTTGTCCAACAAGTGTCCAAGCTTGTCCAACGGCACCTGTCCAAACTTTGTCCCTTTCTGTCCCAGGCTTGTCCAAATTATTTCTTAACAGCTCTTACATGACTGTCCAGCCTGTGTCCAAAGTTGGACATCGCTGTCAGAGGGATGCGGTAGGACAGCGCTGGGACACAGGGGAAACCTAGGACAAATTTGGACACGCTTCGGACATGACGCGGTAGGACAGCGCTGGGACACAGGAGAAACCTAGGACAAATTTGGACACGCTTTGGACAGGACGCGGCTGGACAGCACTGGGACACAGGGGAAACCTAGGACAAATTTGGACACGCTTCGGACATTACGCGGTAGGACAGCGCTGGGACACAGGAGAAACCTAGGACAAATTTGGACACGCTTTGGACAGGACGCGGCTGGACAGCGCTGGGACATTGGAGAAACCTAGGACAAATTTGGACACGCTTCGGACAGGACGCGGCTGGACAGGTGCTGGACATCGCTGTCAGAGTGGATGCGGCAGGACAGTGCTGGGACACGAGGGGAACCTAAAGGACAAATTTGGACTGAATTTGGACAGGGCGCGGGTGGAAAAGGAGGGACGTCGGACATTAAGGACACTTCTGGATGATGACGGGACAACGACGTGGACACATCTGGAAGAGGATTGGACATGGTTGGATGAGCTGGGACACAGTAGGACACAGTGTAGGACACAGTAGGACACCTTGGGAAGCTAATTGGACGTCCTAACTCTGTCCCGCGGCCCCATCAGGGTACTACTACTTCTACTACTAACGCAGGCTATACGGATGCAACGGAGGGAACCAACCAACTACAGGGACACTACCCGCCCCTGCTCTGCTCGCTCTGTCTCGCTCACACCTGTATACAGGATGCGCGACGAAGGTTCCCTATCCCACAGCCTCCCTCCTCCCCCTCTCGAACGGCCTTGCTTTGCCGCCGTGGCAAAATGCAAACGCGGCGCTCTGCTCCAAATGACACGGCAACCTGTTGTTGTATCGCAGCCTCAAACAACAGCGGGAGTAATTGAGGTTCGAGCATTATGCGACACTCTCGGCCGCACGATAGGGTTGCAAACACTTGGAAAGTTTCCGGAAAATTTAAGGAAAACTTCCCAGACTTTGGACGTTTTACGTTATTTTCCGGAAAATTTTGGAAATTTTCCAACGCTTTATGCACCATTCGACAAGACACTAAATTATATGACAATATTAAGAGTATTAGAAGCGAATTGTTAACTTATTTCCTTGTTGCGGTACTCGCGGTTCACATTCATACCAAAAGTTCAGCAAGTAGTACAACAAAAAAAATTGATTGCTCAAATTGGTACACGAAACCTGTAGTGTGCCGCCGGTGAACACTTGAAAGTGTCCTGAGACCCTCCAAGCTGTGCACTTGCACGTGTGTTCAGCTCTGTAGTTGTGCACATGCAAGTGTTCAAGCAGTCCGTGTCTGTTCACTGCAAGTGTTCAACTCGGTTCTCATGCACCTGTTACAAATGTGGCGAAATTTCAATGGAATTTCACATGTGTATTCGCCTTAAGGAGGGAAAGAGGACTCACACATCTACAAGCAGTACACGGTAAAAAATGTTTGTTGGAAGACAAACATTTTTGTTAAGACAGTTGTCAAAAAACAATATTAGTTGTCATTGTTGAAAATGGAAATATCGACAGACAATTCGTTAACTTAACAATAAGTTATGTCTAATAACAACACACAGGTTGGTTCCCCAACAAGAAATGTGGTAATTTTACAATAGTTTTTGCACCACAACAAATACTATAGTTGTACAACAACATCATCTATCCTACAAATTAGCAAGAAATTTGTTGTAAAACTTTAACTCTAACAGTGCATTGAGCGACATTCGCACACACTAAGGATTGTCAGTGTAGGTTTTAAAACCACGCGCCATTATAATGCCACGTTTCCTCGTTGTGTCATACGGGCGCCAGACGGCAGACGCGACCCAAACACCCCTCGCCCAAGCTTGCACTGCACCGGAAGGAACACATCACATCCAAGCGTTATGCCAGCTCAACAGGCTTGCAGAACACACTCTGCAAGCTACAACGCGGGATGAGGGGGGCAAAAAACCTAGGATAGTTCGCTTTGCAATGTACTTCACGTTTGTTTGTTTCTCCTTCTTCTTTCGCGAGGAAAAGGATTCTCCCGCCCTCACCGATGCGCTCGGTGTAAAACGAAGAGCAACAATCCAGTCCGATAGAAAACTACACACGGACAGACTGGTTGAGAGGGGACGGGGGGTAGGGGGGCGGCCAAAGTGCAGCAGAGTTAGTTTGAGATGAAACTTGTCTTCCTTTTTCCTTTCTCCGGATCGATGCATGAAAGAGATCCCTACATGGCTTTCATTGCTGCTCTGCCGCTGCTCCGCGACTTTCTCTCTCAATTTGACGGGACCAACAAAAGCAGGCATTTCGAACCCGCCACCCCCTCCTCCTCCTCTTCTCCTCCGAACCTGACCGCGCCACCCAAAAACAATGTCAACCATTCTGGCCTTTGCTGCCTGCGCAGCAGACGTCCGTGAGATCGTAAAGATTAGAAAGACTATACAGTCAAAACATTCAACTATTAACTTTGTCTGCCAACACTTACTAACGTTTTGTGCTATTGTATGTAATCAGTAAACCCATCACTGTTACTTTTCCTGGTATTTCTAAACTTTTCGACCGAACCATACTTACAATACTGGGAAAACGTTTAGTAATAGTAGGAAAAAGTTCAATTATGCAGTGTGAAATATGTTTTTGTAAATTTATAACGTACTTTGCATTAACTATTTACAAAATATGTATTAAATAATTTACGACCACTCTTTCTTGCTCGTCGATAAACGCCAATTCTTCAATCAATAGTGAAAGCAAGTTTACAAATTCTAATTTGTAATTTTACACCATACACCATGGAAAATGTGTCTCATGTAACACTCACTTGCAAGAATTTTTACAGTGCAATGTACAATACAACACAGCACAAAACTGTAGTATTGCTTTAGGCAAATTAATATGCCCTACTAATAAAAAGTGTAAAGTGTGAGACCACTCAGAAGACGGGATGATTTCGATCACGTGTTATCCGTGTCGCCGCCCCCGATAGGTGGAGGTGGGGCGACGCTGCGCGGCCCTTTTTGGTGACGGTTCAAGTTCAAAGAAGGTTAACACATTCGGAAGTTCAGAGATGCGCAAACACCACTGGGGTCTCCTCCCTCCAGCGACGCGCACTGCCCGGCCGATGCTCTGCTTCGTATGCTGCCCTCTCTTTTAATCACCCACACATACTTTTACCTCGACGCCGCACCGCCGCGCTCGCCCGTTCAACTGGTTCTGTGCGCACACACACGTAAAGCCGAGAGAGAGAGAGAGAGAGAGAGAGAGAGAGAGAGAGAGAGAGAGAGAGATGCCACTTTCGATTTCTTTGGGATCGGGATTGGCATTGTTTGCCGGCTGCGGCTGCCTGCGCTCGGCGCACGCCGGCCCGCGGATGCACCTGTTGTTGTCTGCGGCTACCAGGTTGGTCTTGAAATCCTACTGTCCCTACTCATTACTTTGTTTTTAAACGGTATATGAAACAGTAAGTTTATTTTCTGAATGATATAAACAATTAGATTGAAATAATGAATAAATTTCGATAAATTTCAAGGTGGCTGAAGATCGTTTTCGAAAACAAAGCAAACAAGAACAAATGAATTACGTTAGACGCATTTGCCTTCTTCAGTGCTACCAGTGGCTCTTATGTATTAGACGCCATCAATAAGAATTCTAAATTCTTAATAATTCTGTTGAGTGTACCACGATGCGACTACAGCGGTGATTGAAATTACCAGAAATCTGTGGTGAGATTCAGGCGAGGATTCCGCGGCCCCGTTCTAGTGGCCGTCATTTAAACGGTCGTTGCCCATTCTTTACACACTAAATGTGACGCGATTTCATGAAAAATGTAAAACATTTTTGAGGACAATTTGCACAAGCCCGGTCAAAAAAACTGTCCCATTAAGACAAATTGGTATCTTTAGTTGGAGAAAATAAAAATTTGTAAATTTGTCCAGCAGCAGATCCTGCAATGGACAAAATTGTCCCTTGTTTTGCCATTTAGAGTTTATTTGTCTGTCTTGTTCTCAAAACCGCCGCTCCGTCAAAACTTTATCCATCGGTTGATGTTACGCGCTGTGTACTTCACTACTTCACTTACAGAGGGATTAGCAAAAGTCATCGTAGCACAGCTGTGGCGAAACATTCCTTTCAGACGGATGTAAATCGACAGCAGCTGTCTGCCTTGGCGTGGAACGCCCTACCCTGCGCGCGCGGGTCCCCTCCGAGGTCGGTCGCGGTTGGCGGTGTCAACGTATCGGGGTCAAATCGCCTTCCGGAGAATCCGGAAACAGGATCGTATTCCAGGAAGACACTTTTCGGGATCCTCTCTTAGCTATTCAGGCCCAGCTTTGTTTCGGTGTTTTTTTCTTTCAAACACCTATTTTTCTCACTAACATAGTCACTCCGTTGTTATTTCTCCAGACGACGGGGGCCATACTCGTGTATTTCTAGGTACGCTTAACGTATGTTTTATGTGTGCTTATTAAACAAAGATTACGAAGATGTCAATATAAGTGCCTTTTAAGAGAATGAGATTAAGTAGACCACACATAGTTGAGAATGCCCAAGAGAACTGTATCGCAAATAATTCCAAACGAATTCTTTCGCGAATAAGTCTTTCATGG